CGGGCGAGGGGCAGGGGGAGCCCCCCTCCGGGGCTCGGCTGCTGCTCACTCGTTGCTGTAGTGCGGCGCGCTTGGGGCGGAGCGCTCCGAAATCCCCACTGAAGACAGCGAGCGGCTGTTGATAAGACCGAACGGAGTAATTGGTGTTCCTCTCTGCTTGTGCTGATTTCCAGTTCCCAGCAAAATGTTTGCTTCCACGATTCTCTTTTTGCTTTCCCTCCCCTAACTCTCTCTTTCTCCTTTGACAAGTGACTTCCCAGACCACCTGGAGTTCTTTGCTTCTGTTGCAAGTAAACACCGTGTTTCCTTAAACTGCTGGGAAACCACTGTTCTTGCTAAAATCACAGCGGACTTTCCATTTTGGTTCCTGTAAGCAAGGTGATCGGCTTTAAGTTTTGAAGTGGCACATACTCAAGATTTACACCTGTTGAATTAATTTCTCCCCCCTGTCCCCCCGTCTTTTTCTGGAAGTAGCTTTGAAAATGGCTTAGGTGATTATGAAATGTTAATGTTGACAACCACATTAGCTGATGAAAGAAGAGTCTAAAACAGAGGAGGTAGGCTCCAAATCTTAAAATCTATGCTATTAAAAAAAAGTTACATATTAAAATTAAATAGCAGGGAAAAGTTAATTCCTGATGATCCTTTTCTCCCAATTTAAATATTTTTGATGATTGTAGTCTTTTTGTCTATGTTGACAAGGAAATAATAGTTTGTTAATTCCTGTTATCAATCATAAGAGCATTGATAACAAGCATTGTTACATTCTTGAACTCCGCCTCCTGAAGATCCAGGCCTTATTTATGTTACTTCAGTATAGTAAGAGGAAGAGCTGCAATGTTCATCCACTAGCGGCTGGTTACTGGCAGTGTTTGAAGAACCCTACTGCTTTGATTTATCCTGAGCACTGTTAGATCATGTGCTGTTGCATGTTGCTTTGAATGAATTAGGTACTTAAGTAAGGAAAGATTTTCTTGACCCTAGAATTTTTGCTCTGTGGTGAGCCATGCTGTCATTGTTCAAAAATTATTCCAGTGATTAGCCTCCACAGCTTCCTGAATGTAATGTGAATGCAATTATGGATGAGATACACACAACATCATCCTGTTTCAGATGGGGTTGAGAAATGGTGGCAAAATCTATGCTTGTGTCAAAGCCAGGTGAAAGCTGGTGGGAGTGTCTCCTCATCATCTATTTTAATAGTTCTGGATCCCCTACCATTCATACCTCTACACAGTGCAAGCTGTCATAAATATATTAGCATCTATTAGATTATTCCCCCTCAATCCTATGGTTTGCCTAGTATGATATTTGAATCTCTTTAGTTCATAGCGGGTCCTTTTTTTTTTTTTTCTCCATTTTAATTATCCAGGCTTCTTATAAACAAATTTTCAAGAGAGGAAGTTTCTGTATCTCAATAGCCATTGTTGCTTATGCTAGTAGTATTCTAGAGCACTGTGAAATATGATGTATCTGATCAAGGCTTCAGCACCATAACATGCATTAACCATCATGTTTATGTCTTCAGGATATAGTGTCTGTGAGTACTCATAGTTGCAGTTCCTTCTTGTGAAGAATCATTTATTTCACGGTCTAGACAGGGAAGCAGAGGCTCTGACAAGTTGGGCATGTTGAAGGCCACCTGCCATAGCTCTCAGAGCTACGCTATCCAGGGTTGCTGTTCTGAATTCAGGATGCTAATGTGGGTCATAACATCAGATGTTTCTCTAAATCTGAAACTTTAAACAGATACAATGTTGTTTTCTAGAGCCGCATCAAATCTTACTCTGCATCATAGTCCAGAGATGCTAGGTGATTCTTTTTCTGATTGTTTCTCACACAGTAATTACCTGGAGAGGGAGAATGGGTAGACATGTGAAGAAAGGACTCTAGGCTCTTGAGCAGTAATATACTGTAGTATAAATATGGACATTTTAGTTCAGTTTTTCTATTGTGGTTTCATGTTCTATTGATCTGTAGGATATTGTAAGACTTCGTTAAATACTTGATACACTGTGAGTTGGAGAAGCGAAAGCTGCTGAAAAATGGAGTGGATGCTATAACATTCTGATTTTAATAGATATTTGAAGCTACAGTCACTATTTTTGAAGGTAAAGCTACTGAGCAGAGAATGTCAGTGTTCTGGCTAATGTAGCAATGAACAATGTGTGAGCTAACTTCTCAAAACACATGTGAAATGATTAACTTCTTTAATTTAGAAAGAAACCAGGGTGAGATTCATCTTGCCTGACTTGTGGTTCTAAAAGTTAGCTGGCTTTTCCTGTCACAGGAGAGGAACAGGCCAGGTGAACTGTGCTTCTCTTTGGCATCTCCACAGGGCAATGAATCAAAATGGTATCTGTTTTTCCACTGACTGCGGAGTGCACTTAGGTGCTCAGCTTACGTATTGGTGTATAGGCTGGGAGAGATGAATCCTACTCCCAGGTTCCGAAATGGTGATTTTGTTTTCTGTTTCTGAAGGTCATTTCAGCTTAGATTCTTTGCATGCTGAGACTGTGTTCTTTCCTGGCATGAATTTGCATTCATCAGATGTACATCTTTGTCATTTTAGATTTCCAGCTTGAGATCAGTGTGCTGGTGCTGATTTTCCGATGAAGTACATCCTGGTAACTGGTGGTGTCATCTCAGGCATTGGCAAAGGGATCATTGCAAGCAGCATTGGCACCATACTGAAATCATGTGGTCTACGTGTCACTGCAATCAAAATTGATCCTTACATAAACATAGATGCTGGAACATTTTCACCATATGAACATGGTATGAAGGGCAGTGTTGTTCCCTTTTGCATAAATATTTGTATTCACAATAATGTGGTGGGTTTTTTGGTTGTTTTTTTTTTTTTTTTAAAAAACAACAGCATGGTGGTTATTAGTAATTTTATAATCTATTTGGCAATGCAAATTTGTTCCTTACTATGTGTTCTCAAGGGCATTGCGTGCTCTAAGTAGAGAGAGGAGAATCCTCTTTGGTGAAGATACTTTTATGAGTAGATGCTTCCTTCCTATAAAGTACCACTTTGTTGGGAAAATCCTAGCTCTAGGCCTTGTTCAGTCAATGCTATCTTGAGTTCAACTTGATTAAAAAAGAAAAAATGGAATAGTACTATAAAACTTTTTTGAAACTTAACTCCTCAATGGTTACTTGTGAATGCTTTTACCTGGATGTCAGTTGTCAGTGCCTCTAGTGTGTCTTCATGAGAGTTAGATTAAGGTCTGATTTTAGACAATGAGGATCAAGCCAAAACCATCAGTGAAGCTTAGAGAGCCAACTAGTGATATCATTTTAAAGTAGATGCTTAGTTTGGTTGGTTAGTTCTCTAAGCTACGTTGGTTGTATTCACTACATTGCTGATGAGCTACAAGACAGTCTGAGATGCATTTATATTTTTGAATGTTCTTCAGCCGTCTGTCTTGCTACTTGTACATTTACTGAAAACAACAGTTTTCAACGTTCCAAGGTACCTTCAGCCAGTAGACATTCGTAATTCTTTTTATCTGTCAGATTTTGTCTGCTCACTTTTAGTTGAGACCAAAATTTTTGGAACTGGAGATGAACATGTTTATCTCCTGAACTTAAAAAAGACCACTTTGCTCTTTAAGTAGAGGAAGAGCGCAACGCGTCAGACCTCTCTCAAAAAGCCAAATTTAACTAATCCAGTAGTCCTGCACTTTCAGAAACGCATCTGGTGCTACTTAGGCAGTTGACCGGGGAAGTTATGTCTTTACCTTTGGTGGTAAGACTCCTGCGATGACTTGAGATTCTGAGGATGTGTTCCTCCCCTGGATCAGGTACAGGGGAGAGGGGATACTATGGCTTGTAATTCCCACACAATTTTTTTTTTTCCCCTCTGTTCACTTAAGAGTTTCTTGCTGCTTGTGAAGAAACAGTGGCTTGCTAGGTAGTAAGTAGAAATTCACACAAGCCAGAATGGCAAACCTCTTTTGTTAACATTTTGGCAGAAATATGATTGAGTCAAAGGATTTTAATTTGGTGATTTCCAGTTAACTGAAGAGGTTTTTTAAATAATGTATTTTTTTATTATTCCAAGGCCTGCTTATGAGAAATGTTGGTTCTACTCTGTATCTGTAGGCTTAAATGATAACTTAGTACAGAGGAGGTACGCAGTGCCTAACAGCATCAGGCATGAATCTTCCACTCTGTTGTACGCATAGAGATGGTTTTTTTAAACTGTTCATTGAAGTCGAGTGTTGTATCTTGGTGGGATATATATTTCTGTAGTCTACACTATACCTTCAGGGGGATTGCTTCTTTTTTTTTCTTGTGCATTTGTCCCCTAGCTTGTTTAGCTGTTGATTCATTGGGTCATGGCAGAATATTTTTGAATTTTTCTGAAGAGCTTTCCAGCCTTACCTCAAGATCTAGCAACTTCAGTTGCTTCAGAAATTGACTAGATTCAGAATTTAGAGACTCTTTAGAGGTCTAAGAAAAGTCTGAACCTGAAGGATATTTTTGTTAGATTTTTCAGGGTCAGAAATAACCCTCGCTGTGGACATAGTGAACTAAATATACAAGATGAAACAACTGAATAAGAAACAGTGATCATGTTTGAAGAAACATTTATGTTCATCATAACTTTACTCCTGATCCAAGCCTTAATCATTAAGATCCAAACAACACGAATTTATAGTGAAACACTTTGAACATGTGTAATAATTTGTGCTTATAAAAGCAGGTTTTGCCTGCCATGTGTAAATTAGTGTTTTATTTGTTGCTGATTTATGATTCCTAGAGATTGGATTCTTCCAATTAAGGATTGTAGCATGCTGTTGAAATGCTGGTTAAATATTTTTAGGTCACTTAAATATTTTGGTAATATAACTTAAATTTATTTGCAAAACTGTATGTATAGACTGAGGGATAGGCATTCGCTGCAAAAGTAATGACTCGGGTATTAAGTCACACAGAATGACAATGCAGATGAGTTGCAGCATGTACTTTATTGATAAATCATTGTGATATGTCATTTTAAAAAACATTTCTTCAATTTTAAGGTGAGTTTGTGGTATTCCATGCTGTCTGTTTAATAATTTCTGATTATTTTATTGCTTTTCTGTCTGTTTTCACTTTCTTTTTTCAGGTGAAGTTTTTGTATTGAATGATGGTGGAGAAGTTGACTTAGATTTGGGAAATTATGAGAGATTTTTGGACATCAATCTCTATAAAGATAACAACATCACCACTGGAAAGATATATCAGCATGTCATTAATAAAGAAAGACATGGTGATTACCTGGGAAAAACTGTTCAAGGTGATATTTTTAATTCTGTGGGATACTGGTCCATTCAGTCTTCACAAAAGAGTGATCAACTAGAACAAGCTGCTCCTTGCTGCATTATCTTATTCCTTTCTCCTTCCCAAGAGATATGGGCATATTCCTGTAATGTTGGGCTTCTGGGTTGAAGGAAAGGAGGAATAGAAAAAGGAGCTAGTAGTTTCCTTTTGACTTTCTGCTTATTTTCCCCCTTTTGCATGCAAAAACTGGTATATGGGCCTAAAGTAAGATATGCTTGCCTTCTTTGGCTCTGTCTTGTAGTTGTTCCGCACATCACTGATGCAGTTCAGGAATGGGTAATGAATCAGGCAAAAGTTCCAGTGGATGATGACAGAAAGGAGCCACAAATCTGTGTAATCGAGGCAAGTATGGAACCTTTTAGGCTATATATCCGCAATGAACACAAAGAACTAGCATGCTTTCTTTGTGCTTCTTACTGTAAAAAAGTCAGACTGAAGGTTTATGGAGAGCACCAATGCAAAGACATGTTTTATATTCTTTGATTTGTTCTGAGAATGATAGGCATGGTCTTATCCCTGCAGCTTCTGTTTAGTTGACTAAATCCCTTCTAGAATACTGCTGAAACTGAGATGATTAGGAGTTTATTAATTTATAAAATTAAAGCAGCCAGTTACTGTAATGTGCAGTATCTATTCCAAGATAGAGACATTTGACTGAAGCTTTATACTGTTATTAGTATTGAGAAAACTTGTGTAATACTTGAAATCTCCTATAGTCAGTAGGAGAGCCTGTAACATTCTAGTTTTCCATATGGCTTCAAATGTCCATGTTGTTGCTTGTGTCATGTTTAAAGGAATATATTTAAATGTTGTAGTTTGCCACTTTCTGGTCTTATTTTTAAGATCTTTGGAGGCAACTTTGTTAATCACTTAACCTGCTGATGTTCTGTACAATGGGAATAATGAGGTTTACCCGTCCTTAGTAGGGCATTGGGACAACTGGAGGAAAGGCAGTAATTGCTAGTATTACCATTACAGTGGAAATTACAGAAAAAAGAAATTGCTAGTATTACCATTACAGTGGAAATTACAGAAAAAAGATTATACCTGAGAATTTGACAGAAGAATATGTCATAGATTTAATGCCACAATCAGTAGTGTGATAAACTTTGTGACCCAGGTCACAGAATTGCTCAGTATTTCTTTCACAGAAGAATCTGCCTTGATTAAAATATACTTATTGGTATAGCTGTAGATCTTTTTTATGATGTGCACAGTGAGAGTCGAACATTTCATTTAAAACAAATGTAAAAACAGTAAATACAGAAGTTGCAGAAGATCATTAATAAGTGATGGGCTCGTCAGATCTTTAACTTAAAACTTGATTTTCTGTTTCCTCCATGTACGGGGTTTTTTTGTTATAGCTCCAGCCTGATAAAAATATTTTTCTTCAGGACCTTAGGGATAATTGTAATGTTTTTCCATGGCAAAATCCTGAAGGAGTTAGACTGAATAGGTGCATCACATGCAAATGTAGTTGTTAGAAGTTTTTCTGGTACTGGGTGAACACAAATATGCAATTCTGTCAAAAGCCACTTGGTGGCACAGAAAGATCATTCTGAAATACAGCTACTTCATAAGACTTATGTGCTAAACACTGCTTTATTCAGTGCTTAGTCCACTACAGCTCTTTATGTCTTTGAAAGACATATAATTTCTGTCTTTATAAATAAGTTTTATCATGGACTTAGTCTTAGGTTTTGGCTTGGTAATAAATATTTAAAGTCTTTTATAATGTGAAATTTCATGTTGCTAAACATCTGTATCTTGTTGGTCACAACTGTTCATTAATCTGACAGACAGGAAAATAAAGTTTTTCTGTACAAAAACTTTCACATCAGCTTAACTATTGATAACTTTTTCACCACTGTGAAGGCAGTGTGAAAGCATGTATTATTCAGTAGCACCACACATCTTCCCATGGGAAGCTTATGTGTTTGGTGTAAAGTGAATATAACAAAACTGGAAAATTGTTTTATGTTTTCCACAGGAAACAAGATGTGCAGAATAGATGAGGGTTCTTTGCAGAGTATGCCTGCAAATTTCAATTGTCAGGTTTTTTTAAGATAAAAATTTCGGAAAACTTGTTGAGTATGTAAGAGGTAGACTTTTTTTTTTTTTCTTTTTTTTTGCTTTCTGCCACTCTGACATATCCAAGCTTTCTTTTTCAGCTGGGTGGGACCATTGGAGATATTGAAGGAATGCCATTTGTTGAAGCATTTAGACAGTTTCAGTTCAAAGCAAAAAGAGAGAACTTCTGTAATATCCATGTTAGCCTAGTACCACAGGTAAGTTATTAAAATTAATAAAATAGAATAGATTTTACTCTGTATTGGGCTTTATATTTGTTTACTTCTCCCATTAACCCTTCCATGCTGGAGGGTTTTAGAGACAGAGGTATGAAACTCAGCCACACTGGGGTAAATAAAGGCCTTGATAATTACTTTGTTGATGTGACAATCTGTTTTAATGTTCTAAGTTACCAAAAAAAACCCTTATCAACACTAATTTATCTAGAAGGCTAAATATGGTTGTTCTTCGCACTGGAAGGTGCTGGTACGTTATGAACCCAGTAAGAAAGGCACTCAAACTCTCAAAGGTATCATTTAAAATTCTATTTTTCAGAGATAACACTATAAGGAGAGAATACTGTAAATGACCTTAGGTCTCTCTAGGTGGTGGGAACCTCAGGTGGTGTAGCATTGAACGGCCGCGACGTGCAGCATGCTGGGCAGACCACATTCATAGAAGAGATTCTCCCCTTTCGGTCCTTTGAGCTAATAGATAATTTTCTTACAAGAAAACAACTGTATCATTTTTACTGTCAAACAGAAAGGATGTTCTCAGGAGAACTTCTTGCCACATCCCTGCATAAAGGCAAGGCCATGCAGGTGATGTAATTGCAGGTGCTGAGTGGGAGCTGCTTGCAGGCTCCTCTGTTAATGGCGAGCTGGCTGAGTTTGTCCTGCTGCCAAGGGACTTGTGGAGCACAGGCCTGGGCTTCCTTAGGTGAACTCTGGTGTGGATCATGAACTCCTTGACGTACAATGGTCTTCCAGTCAAGAGTACTACAACTTTTTGTACAGGGCTAAAAGTATTTTTCCATTTGAACTCTAAATTTTACTTCACAAATAGGTTTTCTTACTATTTTAAAAGATAAGTATTCACTGGGGAGATTTTGGTAAGCAAAAGTTGGTAATGATGATATGATTGCACCTTGTATAGATCAAAAGAGAATTATTAACCACTGCAGCTATGGATTAGAGGATTGATCAGCAATTGGTAGGATTGTTTCTGTGTATTTGAGAACAGAATTATTTACTACATCTGATTATTTCCAAGGACAGTCACTGAAAGCTTTGTGCTATGTTGGACATTCTCCATTTATTAGCAAAATCTAATTTTTGGAATATTCTTCTTCTACCTGATTCAATTATATTGAAACTTTTTCTCTGAAAGAAAAAAACAAAATAAACCTGACCTGAATTAGGGCCATGTGGTTTCTTCGTGGAATTTCTTATATAAGTAATAGTGGTGCCATTTCTGTTTCTGGCATATTGTGATTCTGTTTGGATATGTTTACTTCCTGCAAATATTATTACTTGCAATGACTTTCCTCTTTTAACATGTAACTGCTCTATTAGTAGATGTTAGTTGCTATTTCAGCTTTCAAAATATGTCTTTCCAGCCTAACGCCACTGGCGAACAGAAGACAAAACCAACACAGAACAGTGTTCGAGCACTGAGGGGTCTAGGCTTGTCTCCAGATTTGGTGAGTCAATAAATACAGAATTTTATTTATAGGTCATCCAGAAGTGTCCTTGCATAACTTGTGTTCAAAGAATAAGCCTTAGTCTCCCATGAGAGACAAGAATTTTAGAAGAAATGCAACATATATGCTACACTGCTTCACTAAAGCCACAGGAAATCAAATTACTCAAATTCACTCTTAAGTTAACTTAACTCAGCTATCTCCTTGCAATATCTTGGGACTGTAGCTATGTTCTTCTAAAGGAATCTTTGCAGAAAAATCACTCTGCACTGCTAAAAATAATCTAACGTCTCAGTTCACTTTGTGGGAAGACCTAGAATGCTTCTGGCTTCTAACATTCTCTCACAGATTTCTTTTTATGCATGATTAAGAAGAAGCAATCCTGCTGTTGAAGTACAGCCTTTAAAAATATTCCTGTTTGGAAATATAAAACGTGTGGGTGAATCTTCAAAGTAAGGTTCCTCAGTTTCTATCATAGAATAGTTTGGGTTGGAAGGGACCTTTAAAGGCCATCTAGTCCAAACCCCTGCAATGAGCAGGGACATCTACAACTAGATCAGGTTGCTCAGAGCCTTGTCCAGCGTGACCTTGAATGTTTCCAGGGAGGGGGCATCCACCACCTCTCTGGGCAACCTGTTCCAATGTTTCACCACCCTCACTGTAAAAAATGTCTCCTTTATATCTAGTCTAAATCTACCCTCTTTTAGTTTAAAACCATTACCCTTTGTCCTATTGCAACAGGCCCTGCTAAAAAGTTTGTCCCCATCTTTCTTATAAGCCCCCTTTTTAAGTACTGATAGGCTGCAATAAGGTCTCCCTGGAGCCTTCTTTTCTCCAGGCTGAACAACCCCAACTCTCTCAGCCTTTTCTCATAGGAGAGGCGTTCCATCCCTCTGATCATTTTTGTGGCCCTCCTCTGGACCCGCTCCAACAGATCCGTGTCTTTCCTGTGCTGAGGGCTCCAGAGCTGGCCGCAGTGCTGCAAGTGGGCTCTCACCAGAGTGGAGTAGAGGGAGAGAAGCACCTCCCTTGACCTGCTGGCCACACTTCTTTTGATGCAGCCCAGTATACGGTTGGTTTTCTGGGCTGCAAGATCACATTGCTGGCTTATGTCCAGTTTTTCATCTACCAGTACCACTCGGTCCTTCTCTGCAGGGCTGCTCTCAATCCCTTCTTGCACTGCATAGTATAGTGAACCTAAAGCCAGCCTCATGCCAGTTGGCAAATGATGACAAATGCTCAGCTCCTTCCATTCTTCCTCCCCAGTGCTCTAGTACTGAATATGTGCTTATTCCCTGGATGCAGTGTTTCCCTCCCTGGCACTTTTCCAGGGCACTTTCCTGTCTGCCATTGGAGATGTTAATCTCCTTGGTCAAGTGTTGATAGCACTGAAGCCAGAGCAGTACAGCTTCAAATGCCAGTACAACCCCAGTTCAAACTGATGCTCATATCTTATTGAGGCTCAGTTGAAGACACACTCTGTTTCTAGGTCTGCTTCAGGAACAGAAAAGGACAATTTTGTTCTTTCGTGTGAGGCTGCTTGTTAAGTCAAAGGATATTTTCCATACTTGATTCTGGAAGTCATTGAGCACTTTCCATTCCCATAAAGTCCACTGGGAGAAAAAGCTTCCTAGCCCTTCTCAGAAAGGAGAGAGTAGTGAGAATAGTCACTGCTTCTCTATAATATTTACATCCTCAAAAAGGAAAAATGATTCTTAAAAGGATAGTCACACAGCTAAATTTTGTGTTGTGCTTCTTTCTGATTTTTTTTGAACTCTTGCATTTTACATTTATCAAAAAGTATGTTTATAACTACAAAACCAATGGCTTTATAAATAGGCTCTGTGAAAGATGTGTTAGGTAGCTTCACATTCTTGTGAACTGTGTTGTGTTAAAACTGTAACCAGCTTGTGGAGGGAAAGACTTTTATTAATGCAATGCTCTTCCATATTCCAAGCTTCAGGGCCTAAGTTTCAAAACCCCTCTTGAGGTGCTAATTGCATATGGAAAGCTGCATGTGATTTTGGAAGGCCTTTAAGATAATTGCCAGTGCCTGACTTCCCCCCCCCCCCCCCCCCCCAATAAATTTTTAAAAGCCTGTTAAGTATGTGTGTGTGTGTAATAAAAGGAAAACAGCCTAATTTAGTCACTTTCTCACATCTTGAGTTCTTGCCTGGGGCAGTTCTGGGACTGCCAGAAGCACAGTACTTTTTCTTTTTTCTTTTCTTTTTCTTTTTTTTTCCCCCCAGCTGCTGCTGTTGACAACTAAAGCATAGAGAGATTATACTCTGAGCAAAGCTTCTTGGCGCTGTTGTAGAGTTGCTTGGGCACTGCTTCAAGAAAATCTTTAAATAGTTGCTCTTTTGGGCAGGGACCCAAGACCAAGACAGCACATGGGGAAGCTCCTAGAACAGCAGTCAGGAGGGCTTCCTGCATAAGCTGTGCTGCCAGGCTGCCTGATCTAAACTTGGCTAGACCTGTTCTTAATACCTGCTGCTTTGCTGTTTGGTCCCAGGCTTCCCCAAGGTGGCATGCTGGGCCAGTCTCAGCTGTGTATGTACAGGAGCCTTTATGTTCTCCATGGGGTGTTCTAAGCGCTTAGTGAATACGCTATAGCTGCAGATTTAATGGACTCTGTTACAGCATTTTGAAAACTGAATATATGCTTGTCAGTGCTGCCCTATTCAATTGAATTGTTCCTCGTCTTCTTTGTATTAGGTTTCTTTGAGATGCGTCTCTGCCACTGTTATTGTAGTTTCCTATTTTCATGCTGATTCTGATGGTTTTGGTTTCTGTGGCTTCATTAACTTGAAATTTGTCTCAGCAAGATGGATGATAGATTTCAAAGTGGATCTAATCATGTGCTCATGTTATCAAGGTTTACGAATTATGTCTTCAAACGGTACCCAGTTTTTAAGTATAAGTTGTGCTTAATTGAATAGAATGTACAAATTGTTTCATAATCCTTTTTATGATTATTAGAATGTGCACTAATTTTCCCTTGTACTTGGCATTGTTTTTTCTGTTTCTAGAATTTCTTGCAAGGGTAGGGGAAGTTAATTAGACTTCATCAATATCAGTGTAGCTAAGCTGCATTCTAGCAAGGTGATCAAAGATCAGCTACAAGTTTCTGAACAAAAAAGGGCTTAATGCATTAAGTAGTTGCATTTGCTAGAAAGACGGGGAAAATAATGACTTAATCTTTTAACAGGATCATGCTACTTTCTGTTATACTTTCAGTATTCAAAATAACTTAAGGAAGTAGACTAAGTAATCAATAGGCACGTTGAGAGAGCAGTTCTGCATTTCAAGTTAGTTGCCTGAAGTTACATAATGCAAAAAAAACCCCTTCCAACAAACACCAAAACACATGCTTATTTTTTTTGTTGATAAAAGTTGTCAATATTTTCTAAAATTCTCAAGTTTTACATGCATCAGCAAAGTAATAGCAGAATAATTGCACCAGGAGAAAAACCACAAAATTATGAAACAGTTTTCTCATCTTCAGTCTCCTTCTTTTTATCATGATGGGCAAATTAAGAATTACGAAAAGATGCTGAAGTACTGAAATAGTAGAAAACATGCATATAAGCTAAGTATTATTTTTCTAAATTTAGCTGATGAAATCACAATATTTCTTTTGATTCATCATATTATTCATACTTACAGAGCTGTTAGTCTTTAGGTAAAGAGTGTTATAATAGTAGCTACAATAAAGGAGAACATGAGGAAGCAGTATTACAGAGAATGCGAAAGAAAGATTAATAAAAGTGGGTCAGTATGGGCAGATGACTGATTTACTTCTGCCTTGCTAGCCGGTCATTGTGAGCTATAATATATTGTAGAACTCCATAGAATCATAGAATAGTTTGGGTTGGAAGTGACCTCTAAAGACCGTTGAGTTCCAACCACCTTGCAATGGGTAGAGACACCTTTCACTAGACCAGGTTGCTCAAAGCCCCATCCAACCTGGCCTTAAACATTTCCAGGGAGGGCGCATCCACACCTTCTCTGGGCAACCTGTTCCAGTGCCTCACCACCCACATAGTAAAGAACTTCTTCCTTATATCTAATCTAAATCTACCCTCTTTCCGTTTAAAGGCATTACCCCTTGTCCTATCACTACATGCCCTTGTAAAAAGTCCCTCTCCAGCTTTCTTGTAGGCCCCCTTGAGGTACTGGAAGGCTGCTATAAGGTCTCCCCAGAGCCTTCTCTTCTCCAGGCTGAACAACCTCAACTCTCTCAGTCTGTCCTCACAGGAGAGGTGCTCCAGCTCACTGGTCATCTTTGTGACCCTCCTCTGGTCTTGCTCCAACAGGTCTATGTCCTTCTTATGTTGGGGGCCCTAGAGCTGAACACAGTACTCCAGGTGGGGCCTGACGAGAGCAGAGTAGAGGGGCAGAATCACCTCCGTCGACCTGCTGGTCATGCTTCTTTTGATGTAGCTCAGGATACATTGGCTTTCTGGGCTGCAAGTGCACATTGCTGGGTCACGTTGAGTTTTTCATCAACCAACACCCCCAAGTCCTTCTCCTCAGAGCTGCTCTCTATCCATTCTCCACCCAGCCTGTATTTGTGCTTGGGATTGCCCTGACCCCTGTGCACAACCTTGCACTTGGCCTTGTTGAACTTCATGAGGTTCGCATGGGCCCACCTCTCCAGCCTGTCAAGGTCCCTCTGGATGGCATCCCTATCCTCCAGCATGTCGACTGCACACACAGCTTGGTGTCATCGGCAAACTTGATGAGGGTGCACTCAATCCCACTGTCCATGTTGCCAACAAAGATGTTAAACAGTGCTGGTCCCAATACTGACCCCTGAGGAACACCACTTGTCACTGATCTCCACTTGGACATCGAGCTGTTGACTGCAACTCTTTGAGTGCGACCATCCAGCCAATTCTTTATCCACCAAATGGTCCATCCATCGAATCCATGTCTCTCCAATTTAGAGACAAGAATGTCATGCGGGACAGTGTCAAATGCTTTGCGCAATTCCAGATAGATGATGTCAGTTGCTCTTCCCTTATCCACCAAGGCTGTAACCCCATTGTAGAAGGCCACCAAATTTGTCAGCAATGATTTGCCCTTAGTGAAGCCATGCTGGCTGTCACCAATTGTGTCCTTATTTTCCATGTGCCTTAGCATAGTTTCCAGGAGAATCTGCTCCACGATCTTGTGGGCACAGAGGGGAGGCTGACTGGCTTGTAGTTCCCAGGGTCTTCCTTTTTTATAAATGGGGGTTATGTTTCCCCTTTTCCAGTCAGTGGGAACTTCACCAGACTGCCACAACTTCTCAAATATGCATCTCATCAGGTCCCATGGACTTGTGCACCTTCAGGTTCCTTAGATGGTCTTGAACCTGTTCTCCTCCAGTGGGTCGTTCTTCATTCTCCCAGTCCCTGCCTTTACATTCTGTGACTTGGGTGGTGTGGCTTGAGCACTTGTCAGTGAAGACTGAAGCAAAAAAGTCATTGAGTACCTCAGCCTTCTCCATATGCCGGGTAACCAGGTCTCCCATTTCCTTCTGGAGAGGACCCACATTTTCCCTAGTCTTCCTTTTATCACTGACATAATTATAGAAGCTTTTGTTGTTGCCCTTGACATCCCTTGCCAGATTTAATTCTATCAGGGCTTTAGCTTTCCTAACCTGATCCCTGGCTGCTTGGACAATTTCTCTATTCCTCCCAGGCTCCCTGTCCTTGCTTCTACCCTCTGTAGACTTCTTTTTTGAGTTTGAGTTTGTCCAGGAGCTCCTTGTTCATCCATGCCGGCCTCCTGGTATTTTTGCCTGGCTTGCTCTTTGGTGGGCTGCCTCGCTCCTGAGCTTGG